CTTATCAGGTACAGGAGATGCCAATGCTGTTGTAAGAAGTACTGTAATGTATTCTTTCCAAGTGACCCTATACCTCCTGACACACCAACTAAGCCACGAAGACCAAGCCTTGTTGGGTATTCAAGTAAGATCTTAGCTTGAAAATGTTAACTTAGTTTTGTTAACCCTTTACCTCCCAGATCAAATTTGAAATTCTCCTTACTGTCAACAGTACAATTTTTATAATGTTAAATCAGAGAATTTAGTATTGGATCAACTAATTATCACCAAATTGATATTTTTCTTTATTCTCATCACTTATCTGGTTGATATTGTATTGATATTGTAAGGAAAATTCTATATTGGTCACTCATAGGAATTAAAGGGCTGAGTCATGTTATAGTATTTTTATTTTGTATAAAGTGTACATGGGTTTTAACCACAAAAAGCAGTGTTTTAGACTTTGAGCACTTTGAACGTAATGAATGCTTTTTGTTATGGTAAGGTTGCTTTTTAATCTTATTAGCTGTGTAATGTTAACAATGTGTATTATGTAACTTACAATACAATATATCACAGTCATTCACCCTGGGTAAGCCTGACCATACTTTCTAGTTCACAAGGTTTACTAGTGTTGTAGGTTTTCTATGAGAACGAGTTAGAGTAAAGCTATCTCATGTCATAGGTGTTTTGTTCTTAGATCTCTCTTACTTTACAGTAGACCTTTAGTTTGTTTTTATAGCAGATTGACAAAATGTATTATAATAAACAAAATGTTTGAATTGTTTAAATATTGATTGAGACTTTTTGATAATAATTTCACAGTTCATATTCTTGACTTTTCACAGACAATATACTTACTTAATATTTGACTTGTGGCTCTGTGATATTTAGCGAATTATCTGCCATTGTGGTTTCTTGAACAGTACATTGTCTGACAAGTGAATGTTGTTATCATTCAGCAGTTTTATCATATCAGTTGGGTTATCTTTATTCTGTTTCAAGTTGTAATATATGATGATACTCAAAAAATGTCTTTTTTTTTACCTTGGTTTATACATGGTTGAAATCATCTCCCCCACACTATAAGTTATTTCATAAATCTGTTCATACCTGTATTTTCCACAAATGCCACCAAAAGGGCTAATTATGGTTTCCTCTTTTCATCTTATCTAGTAATTGGTTGAAATAAATTATTAACAATCCAAGGCAATCATTTCTTATTGAGAAATACCTGTTCATGATATTAGAAGTTCATAAGGCATATTTCTCAGCTCTAAATGACACCCAGAAAATTAGGAGGATGGATCACTTTTAAAAATAAACAGCCACTAGTAATTTGATGGAAAATGAAATTTTTATTTCCTTGAAGTCTACCAGCATTTTTCATTTTCTACCTGTGTGGTAGTTTCTATGCACAAATCTTGATATCTGTATGAATTTTGAATTCAGCTAGAGATGGAGGGGAGAGTTTCAGCCGCACAAACATCAGGTCCATATAAAGCTTATGAACTGTCTGTTACTTTCTAGATTTTGCAGCATCGTACAGCTTTAGATTATATATTTTTCTTAAGAAATCCCAAGAATCAAAGTTGCTGTAAATTTTGTCTCAGATTATATCATTTGTTGTACTTTTTGTGGTCTATAGATACATTCTGTATGCAAATTATTCCTATTGTTTTGGATGGTTGAATTCGCATTTCTTCAAGGATTTTTAAATCTAAGCAGTTTTAATCCATTTGCCATTCTGTAAAAAATACTTGGTTTTTTTTACATGAACTGATTTGATCAATCTGTTGTATTTTAAAAGGAAGCACAATGACTTATTTACTTTTAGCTTAATATCAATTTTTTTCTGGTGATGTGGAAATGCTAATCAGATAATATAGACATACTTGCCACATATAGCATATTCATCAGTTTAACTTTAAGATAAGTTTTAGTTTTAAAATTTCTCTTCACAATTGGGATGAGAAAAGATGCATCAAGGTGTGTGTGGGTGATGGTGTTGGTGATTCATTTGACAAGGGTGTATTTCATAAGGAAAAAGGGCTTAGAACTTATTAGCTGAACTTATGGCTGTTGCTATTAAATATTTAAGACTCTTAACACTGTGAACAATTATTATGGGTATTTTCAGCAGCATTTCTTTCTTTTCTTTTAACTTTTCATCCAGGATAAAAGCTAATTCATTGCTCTGTTTCAGAATATAAACATGGAACTATTCCTGTGGAAAATTTTGCAGCTCATGTGAAACTCTTGCATACAGATGGCGACTACAGATTCAATCAGGAATTTGAGGTAAAGTTGATCATTTTCATATTATCTGTTTTCTCTATTTGTTTAAGCTTGCTTATCCTCCTTTCCATGATTCAGCAAGTTAAGAAAACACATGGACAGAAGGTAGCTAAATTGGGAATGCAATTTTTTATTTTGAAAAAAGTGTAGGTCTCTGTACAGAAAGATTTCAACTGGAAGGTAAAAGGGAACAATGTTTGAGATCATTACAATTAGGTTTTAATCTTGATTCAGAATAACTTGGTTTATAAAATTTGAATGACAGAAACAATGATCTCTGGTAATGGCAATGCTACAAAGTTTGCAGTGAAAAAGTTTTGTCCCAGATTAGGGAATAGTGCTGGTGAGAGAAGATAAGATGAGATTTTGTCGAGGAGAGGAAATTCACACTAAGAAATACATCTGGATTTAATGCTTCTGATAAGAATTAATTTTGAATTATATTATAGACAAGATGAGATTTGAAGTGCAGAAGTATATAAAAACTATATTAGACATGGGTTAACAAATACACACACAAACAAAAACCAGTTTGACAGACAAAAAATTTGATGCACTTAATAAAATCTCTTTCTTAGTGAAAAGTGAAGCTTAAATAATGGAAAGTTAGGATCCTTCTGTCTGCCCAGCTTTTAGTTTTTTGTCCATATACTGTAATATCATGGCATATTTCACACCTTTTATTGCCCTATTATGGTAAAACAGGTTAGTAGAGGAATGATGAATTGGCTTTTTGTATTTTGTGAAGTCTGAAGGGTGAAATAAATACTTGCAATTTGAATTGGATGAAGTCAATAATTTAAGTATTGTTTTTCTCTTTCTAGTCATTGCAAAGTGTTCATGTCAAGAGCAAGACATGGATAAACAGTGAAAAACCAGAGAACCAATCCAAAAATAGATATAATAATATTGTAGCTTGTAAGTAACACTTTTTTGTCCTACAGTTGTTGCACAGTCATGGGTCTTGAATGATAATGTCGAACATGATACTGAAGAGTCTGCTATTAAGTATTTTAGAGCTTCTATTAATGGAGTAGCCATGTTGCTATTTAACAAAACTGCCATGTTGGCAATTATAGTAGCATATTTTCATGAATGTTTGTTACATAAGTGATAGAAGTACATTTTGCTGATGGATGTCTTGGTGTGGGCAGTTGTCACTGTTGCCATAAGATCCAGCTTTCTTGATTGGAACATGATCTTTAAAGGATGGATTTTTTTTTATTAAAAATCCTTTAAAAAATTGTTTTTGACATTGAGGTAACAGCTTACATGTTTTATTTTGGCCTTGAAAAACATTAGATCAAGTGAGAAGAACAATTTTTCTTTAAGTGACATGACCAAAATATGTAACACATTTCTGTTATCATCTTTTTTGTTGACTGTTATCATCATTTTTAATTTTTATTCCACTGCTCACTTGGAATCAGGAAAGCATGTTTATGCATGTGTGCATAAACATAATTTTTTTCTCTTTGAACAGATGATCATTCAAGGGTGATTCTGTCTTTGACAGAAAATGAACCAGATTCACACTATATCAATGGAAACTATGTTGATGTAAGTGTGATTTAGTAGTAAGCTGTTGGTAGCTAAAATTTCATATCTTTCTTTCAAAAAGTGTTTTTAAATCTTTAATATCTTTTGTGCTCTTTGCAAATGAATCAAGTTTTATTCTATTGAGTGTACTACTTTCTCGGAAACATTGACCAAACGTGAGGCAGCCATTTTGAAATTTAGCCCTCTTGCTATAATCACCTTGCATGAGGTGATTATAGCAAGATATGCTACAATCCCTGACCAATCAGAGTGCACGCATCTCTATAATCAGCTGAGCAAAAGTATTATTATAACTACCATTTTATTGATAACTATTTTTTTTATTTCATTTGTAGAGCTTCAAGAAAGTAAATGCTTACATTGCAACTCAAGGTAAGGCTGACATTTTGATGTACAATGATTATGACTATTACAATTAAAATTATTTTCAAGCTCACTTTAATACTCATAATGATATATGCCATCATCACTTTGTTATGTTTTATCCGTTCACATTGTTTTTCGATGTTACACAAAATTATCATAATGACTACCTTTCATCATAACATAGCGAGTAAATTTGTCTAATCAAGTTCAATTGCGCAAACATGCTTCATATTCCTATTGTGCACGCTCATGATGTCAGCAAACAAATCCCTCGGGAAAAAAAAAATTCCATCAGGTTGAAAATGTTATAAAACAATTGGTTCATACGTCAGCTGTGCGTTCATCAAGATATGAAGCACTTGGGAAGTTTGGAGAGCACTCAAGAAGCTAGAGTTGCTCTTGTAAGGTTAATTTATGAGATTGTAAAGAAGGCATTGTGCAGGGAAGGGTTCTTTGGCAACATCCTTGGTAATTAATTTTAATTTTTTTATACCAGCTAGGAATTTGCTGCAGTTTAAAATTCATCTCCCTCAATCAGTGTTTGTTTGCACATGTTTCTTTTTATTGAAAAATTGTTAATTGATTAATGGTACTTTACCTTATGCTTTTCTGATGCTATTACTATCACCTAAAAAATATGCTAAAGTTTCAAGAACTACTTTAATTATTTAAGGAGATATTCATGTTTCTTCCAAGTAATAAAGGCATTGATCTTTTGCTGGAAACCTTGTAGTTAACAAGAATACAACATCTTAAGTCCCATTTATTTTTGGTCTTTTGAAGGACCCATGGCTAACACAATCAAAGATTTTTGGAGGATGGTCTGGGAACAAAACTGTACAGTTGTGGTCATGATCACGAATATCATAGAAAAAGGAAGGGTAAGTCATGCTTGCCAAAATTATTTTTTTGTTTATTTTTATCACAAAATGTACCATAGGGATGTGAAATTCTCTTAAAGCCAAATGGTGCCCTTGGTCAGTGTTGACTTGGTGCACACATTTCTGCTTGTGATATTATGGAATTTAAAATTTGACTACTATTCGTAAGTTGTAAATCAAATATACTATGATGATTCATTTGAATTGAGATTGAGATTCCTTACATTTCCTTTCAGCATAAATGTGCAATGTACTGGCCCTCTAAACAAGCTAAGAGTGAAGCTCATGGTCCCCTAAGAGTAACCTACTTAGACGAGGAGGCTTTTGCTCATTACACTTTGCGTCGATTTGAAGTAAAACCAGTTGAACACAGCACACACTATAGTCAGGTATGTTTGAAGTTTACATTTTTGAGCAGATATGAGATAAACATGTACGATTAGAGTAAAATTGACTTTATATTCAACAAGGCAGTACTTATACCCATGCATGGTAAGTCTTAAAAATTTTGGTGCGAAAGTCACCAATTCTGCAACTTGTGTTTGACAGTCACACAGCGAGGTGCAGTGTTTTCATTAGGAAGTGTTCATGGTCTTGGGCTGAAGTGTGATGAATTTTGGCTTGAAATATCATTCTTATGCTATTTTGTTTTTGTTAATTATGATTTGCTCCTTTCTCCTTGGTTGTTTGAGCTGTAAGCCTTTATTTGTGGAAGAAAAGTTAAAAAACAATTGCCAGTCATACCGTTTCATTCCAAAGACCTGTGATATGGTCAGTGACAAGTTCATGTGCAATATGCCACTTATTGTCTCTTTTTTTTCTGGCAATCAAAGCTGTTCTTCTTGAAATGATCACCAAATGGTGGCTTTCAAATACTAAGGCTTGAAACATTTCTTTGGATGCTTAAGCTTGCAGTACAATGACATGGATGTCACTCACTATAACATCAAATGTCATTTTAAAACTTATCACTATTATAAGTATTCATGAAGCTCAGTAAGCTCGCAGTATATTGTACAACATATCACCTTTATGTCCACTTCAACTTATGTCTAATAAATTAGAACAACAGTTGTTTTAAAATTAACTTTTTTATACTGTTGTTTATCTTGCATGCAAAGTATAAATATTCATCTAGGATGGTTACCATCGGCATAAACTGGGTAAGACTCCTTTGCAGTAATATTCTTGTTCATCTCAGCCAAACAAGGAAGTAAATAAAATTAAAACAATAAAACAATGAACAAATAATAAAATAAATGAACAAACATTTGCCGAGAGGAATCTTGAGCCATGTAAACAGAGAGGGCACGAAAGAAAATGAAATGTTACAGTTTTGAAATGAAATACCTCCCTATTAGCCTTTGATAAGCTATTGATGATTCATTAAGTAATTATTTTTCAAAGTTGCTTTTATGATAAAGAACCCCAAAGTAAAACTGAAAAATGGTAAAATAGTACATCAAAGTAAAATTGAAAAATTTAAAATTTACAAGGTGAACTTTCATCAAATATCTTAAATTTTTGATGTGTATATTTGTTGAAAATTGTTAGTTTACTACTTGAATTTAATTCAACAAACTTGTTTACCCAGGCACTTGATTTAGAATAATTAATAACACTTTTGATAAATCCATTGATTGCAGGCAAACTGAATTTAAAATCTTATTTTGAAACAAGGTTAATTGCAACAAGTACAACAAGTTCATGATGAGCCACCTTAAATTTTTGAGAATCTGAGTTTGATTCAAACTCAACTATGGCAGCAAGTGTCAAGTTTATGTGAAAGTCTCTTTTTATTAAATAATTATTCACCCAGAAAAAAAAGGAAATAAGTGCTTTATTGCCATTTTACCTTCAAGGTTGACACAAATTGGCTTTTTTGTTTTCATTAAAATATGAACAAAACTTAAGGCCATGTTTTTTAACAGGTTTCTGCAATACATAAAAGTGGACAAAACATAAATACTGGTATATGCCTGGCAATTTAAAACTAGCTACTTGTTCATATGTATGAAGTATGGAATCAAGTGCCGTGGCCGTGATTGATCTTATATAGAACAAACTGTGATTTTTTTTACATATAACCTTTCTTTTAATTGGGTGGCCCTGCTCAAAATTGTACCATGATTAATTGTGTTATGATGATGTGTTAAAATTATGCCTTAAATTGTAATAACAAGACATGTAATATTTTCATGATTATAACAATTTACTAATTTACTAAAGATGTATTCCATGTACCGTTTTCTGGGATGTAAAAAAAACCTATTATAAGAATTACATACTTTTATCAACTAGTTCCTCATGGCTGTATATTAAATTCTTGATTTTTCTCTCTTTTTTTCTGGGCAGGATGCAACAGAAGACGAAGTCAAACCAATGATTGTGTGTCAGTACCATTTCACTGGTTGGCCAGACCATGGTGCTCCAGATCATGGCTGTGAGTACCCAGCTCTGGACTTTATATTCAAGTCAAGTGCTGCTAGTCAAGAAGGGGCAGGTCCCATCATTGTTCACTGCAGGTGATAATTGCTACTGAAAAACTATCAGTGCTAAAGTTTCAGAGGTTTCAATAACTTTTCTCAAATACTGAAAAATTATCAGTGCTAAAATTTTAGGGGTTTCAATAACTTTTTTCAAAAGCAGCTGCTGATGGTGTGGGAAGTGACTGTGCCCAAAAAGGGGCAGTAAGTTGAAACCCAAACAGATGGTGGTACGAGGTGTTATAGGTGATGATAGATGGCCAGTAACCAGCTTTTATTGAAACTTCTGATGTTAAACATTGGCCATAGACTGATGACATTAATTAAACGGCAAATGAATTTACTTTGTGGCTTTAGAATGTACCTGACATTTCATGACATTTAAAAATGAATGAGGAATTTATTTTGCATGAATCTGCAATCCAGCTTTCTCATATTTGAGTAAGTGCTCTGTTTTGAATTAGAAATGTGTTTTTGTTTCAGGTTGAATAAGACTTTCAGGCAGTGGTCATTGCCCATATGAAACAGTCTTTTTAATTCATCCGTTTTACAACTTTGAATGGCATCTGATATTTGGCTAATTTAAGTACCATTTAATTTTTTTGACCAGAAAAAAAATATCAAAATTGATTCAACCCTGTAACTTCCATTACTGACCAAAGCAGAATTTCTCCTTGCAATATCAATACAGTGTCACACAGAAAAGTCATGAGAATAAAGAAAAATATCACTTAGGGTATAATTAGTCGATCCAATTTAAAAGTATCCAAAGTAACAGAATGAGAATTGTATGGCAGACAGTAAGGAGAATTACTAATGAGATCCTAGGAGTGAAAAGATTAAAAACACTTCTTGTTCTGAGATGTGGATTCCATTTCTGTTTCAGTGCGGGTGTTGGTCGAAGTGGGGCATATATTGTTATCCACAGCATGATGAAAAGAATGATAGAGATGAGGGATGTTAACATCTTTGACTTTGTTGCTCAGATACGTCAACAGAGAAATCATCTTGTACAAGAGGAGGTTGGTGAAGCCACCATTACAGGATGGCAATTTAAAAAATGCTCATGGTAGTTAAAACCAGTCGACTTGCATTCCTTTGTGGATTACTCCGGATTCCAAAGGAAATGGAAAAATGAATAAGTTAAAAACTGAATCAACTGATTTGAATTATTCGTATTGCGAGGATCTTTATCCCCGCTATTCGTTTGTCGTGTCTTATCTTGAGGTATAGAAACCTGAGTCATGTGCAGCTTCAATTCACAATCTTCACAAGACTGGTCTATGGCAACAGTCCGAAATAAAACACAATGCAATAATACATTACAGTGAACTTTATGTATGCCGGCTGTCGGCTCATACATGTATATTGTACTTTTGGCATTTCGCTCTACATTACTATCGATAGTTTTTTTTAACCACAATTGTTGCCGCAAACATGTAATGCCACAAAAGTTTCTTCCACCTTTTTTACCCCAAAATTTCGTAACCCTTAAAACCTGACCTTGTGAAAGTTATTTCTTCCCTTTGTCTGAGTACATTACCTGAGTTTTGTCTTAGAGGATCTTAGAGTGTCGAAAATCATCCGGTGTCGCATTGGGTTTGCTTTACTTAGCTCTATGATTGGTCCAAAAAACTCGCGCCACTTTTTAAACCAATCACATGGAAAAACTTAATCCAATCACAACTTGGTCGCCCGCATTTTCCCGCGTTTTAAGCGGTTTACATGTTTTTACTTTGAGTTTTCATTGGCTGTTGAGGGTTTTGTCCCTCCCTCCCATTGGCCGTTGTCATTAATTTGGTTTTACTGTTACGACATCCAATCCAAAAGCGCTCTCAGTATTACTACCCTGTATTGTCTGAGTCATCTGTTTTCGTGCCCTCATGAGTTTATGTTGGAAGCTGTTGAAGTTAGACATGAACACATCTTTTATTCTTGTTTCAGTGTCAATACATTTTTGTACATGATGCCTTGCTACATTTCATTGAAAGTGGGTTTCAGCTGTCAATCCCCATAGATGAACTGAAAGATCATGTACAGAAGTTGAGGAAGAACTGCTCGAGTACAAGCGGACTTGAAGTGGAATTTGAGGTTAGCGTTCATCATTCAGAGGCAGGAGGGGAGGGGAAGGGGTGGTGCATAAACCAATTTGCTGCAAGGAGGTTTTTCTTTGTCTTAATTTCCTCCCAAGTCTTTAGTTATTAAGAATCACTAAATGTTTTCGTATATGTTGAACATGTTATTACATTATGTTCACAGTAATTGGACTACTTGAAATTGTTATTAATATTTTTTGATGTGTTAACAGACTTTTTCGTGTTAGTGTATATACTTTCCGTCGAAAAATACTTTATTATTTATTGCAGCCGTACTAAGCTGGTATTAGTTTGTCCATTTCTATGTATCGTTATTTGTTTTGGGAAGATACGTGGCAGTGCTTTAAATTCTCTTGATGTCAAGTTGGTTTTGTGGCTGAGACTTGTCGCAAACTTGTTGAAACGTCTCTTAAGTGTGAGAGAATTGCATGGGTAATAGAACGGTTTAGTCACAATTCTGGGTGGAAATTGTTTTTGTTTTTTTGTTTGTTTGTTTTCTTATGATTTTACAAATGATTATCGTGATTCTAATTTCTTAGTGTAGAGTTTTGGTCGACTGAACTGCGGAATGACAAGTACAGCGATTGGAATCATGTCATCAACTCTACAGCTAAAAAAACATCTTTCTCAATACATTTACGCTCACGAAGCTTTTGATATTTCTGACTGTAGCGGTATCTAGTGCGCAAGCAATGATCTAACTGATTGACGAATTTTCTGTACTTCTGAAGTAGAGCAACAGAGATTGGAATCTGATGGTTTGGGGCTCGATGTGTCATGGGAACTTAGACTTTATTTTTGTCTCGCGCTCGTGACAAGACGCATATTCCAGGATCGAATTCAAAATTTACCATATTTTGTAATCTAAGATTTAGTTGTTTAGACTGATTGATGTTTCTATTGCAGAAAGCTCAGAAGCCTTTTCCCTGATCACTGTGTTCATTTTGTTTACTTTAGGACTTGAGTGCAATTCAAGTGAGATACTACAATTTGAAGCAAGCTAAGCGTGGGTGCAATTTAGCAAAGAATAGATCAATAGATTATATTCCAGGTAACATTTGAGTCTTAAGGCTATATGATTTATTTTAATCAATAAACTGCACTTTCTTTCGTTTAACCGACGAATTAACCAGCGCAGGATGTTAGGCGAACAAGAGAGAACTATATAAATCATGAGCCGGAGGCAAGAGATTTTCATAGTTTTCGAGTGCTTTTTCCTATAGGTTTACCGCTACAGAAACCACAGGTTTTTGACCAATCAGAGCACTCATAGTATCTTTGGTATTTTATAAAGATTAATCAGTGAGCTTACTCTGCACCTATCAATCAGTTAAGTGACGAGTTTTGTTAATTATCTTCAATGGTAATGATAACATATTACTGGTTCTTACCTTCTTAGCTGACAGTTCCAGAGTTGAGTTGTATCCTCGCCCGAGAGAGGAGGGTTCAGATTACATCAATGCAACTTACCTTGCGGTAAGAATCAGTCCATTTTATTTGTGAAGATTATAGATTAGAAATGAGCTGGATGTAAAGTGCAAGAACACGTATCTAGCAACTCTTTCGTAGAGGAAGGATTTGGATACATTTATTTGAAAAGAACAAAAGTAGATAAACTTCCTCAGGACCTAAATTATGTAAAAAGCATTAAAATGATGACTAGTTGGGGAAGACAAAAACCAAAATGAAAAAAATGAGCCAGGATGCAGGGAGGCAGAGGTGAGCCCTTAACATCTTAACATCAGTACCCATACTCTCCATAATTTTCTTTATAAATTTCCTCTGATACCGACAAGGAAGTTCGTTTATTGATCAGAGCTTGTTAGATTGGTGATCATTACCTTTATACTCATGATCTTAATGAGTGATTCAGCTGAGTATTTCTCTAAGGAGAAACTATATGCTGGTCACTCGTAGGGTTTCAAGTGTTATGCTGGATTGCAATTGATTACTTATAGGATTCTTTGTTTTCTTTTGTTTTGTTCACTTTTGTTTTCGGTCTTTGTTCAGTTAATAAAGCGTAACATACTTGTAGCCTCGCAAGGATTCTAAAATTTCTTCAAAATTGCTTTATTGCTTTTAATGTACATATGTGCCTATTATGTCTTGCAGGGTTTCTGGAAGTCCGAAGCTTACATAGCAACTCAGTATCCTCTGGCGGAGACTACGGACGACTTTTGGAGGATGGTTTGGCAGGAAAACTGTCGCTCACTTATCATGCTGCTCAGCAAAGCAGAGATGGAAGAGGTACTATACCTAAACAGAACATTCAACGGTTTGGTGATACCTTTTATTCTTCTACACTGCGTCAGTTTCCTGTTCAATGTGGAATCCAGCAATGTTGTTTTCTTTTTCATCCAACTCTTGCATTTTCTTAGCCTACTCATTTTAACCAACTTTTGAATCGACACTTCTTAAAAAAAAAAGAGGACAAAGGTGGGTAACATGAAGAAAGCAGCCAATTACATAAAGAATTCGCCTCAGGGCATAGTGGAGTGTCGCTAAGCGTACTTTTGTTTTCCTTTTTGCTTTAGTGACCTTTTGATCCATATGAGTAGTTTAATTTTGTTACTTTGGTTTAATTATGAAGTAATTTTCAGCAATGTTAATCGTTATAAACCAAGGGGCGTAACAACTGCGTGCTTACCTGATTTGTAGAATTGAAGGTAGCGTGTTATACAGTGCTTTGCAAATTGGATTTGTGCTTCTTGCTTACAGTCTGCGTAAGCCAATTGGTATTTCCCTCACAATCCAGGGTGTTGAGTTTTACAGGGAGTTATTCTTCTTTTGTCTGTATTGTTTATGATCGACACTGTTGATATTATTTCAAATTAATTTATTCATAATTTTTTTTGTTCTAGATGTTGTCTCTGTGAACACTAAGCGATAACGCCATGATATAACTGTAGGTTTGTACTAACTTTTTTTTTTCTGTTTCAGGGTTTTTACCATAGGTATCTACCGCCTTTAAATGAAACAACCAGGTTCGGTGACTATGAGGTGACCGCTGACTCCGAGGCTACACGTGGTGACATTTTGATCACAGAACTAAGAATGGTCTCCATCAAGGTACACCATATAAAAGTTCTTTCGTTTCCACTCACATCATGCTTATGCGGTATTTCTAAATTAAACTCCATGTCATTTTTTTCACGTGAAGGGAGGGGTGGGTGGAGGAGAGGAGAGGATTAGCAAACTCTAATCAGCTCTATTTTTTCGGGCTTGTAGGACCCTAGTGAGTACAGAAATATCCAACATTTTCACTTTCTTCACTGGCCTGAAGATGGCAATCCATGGTCTGGTCAGACTATTCTTCAACTGATCTGTAAAGTGGACAGCTGGGAGAGGGAAGTGCGACTTAATGCCAAACCATTTGAAGTGATCGGACCAGTTGTGGTGCACTGCAAGTAAGAAATTTGTCAGATGGTGTTTGGTTTACTCTTTGACTCTTACGAAAGATTGTTCATGTCAAATTCACTTAGAATGTCCTAGCAAGCATTTTTGAAAATGTGTTGAGAATGGAGGAAAGTACCGATAGAGTGTTAAAAATGTGCTCCTTAGGAGGAAATGAGTTCGTTACTGAATGACTACTTAAGATGATGTTATATGTCATAACAGTAAGTTGATAGGAGTACAATAATCAGCGCTTTGTTGTTCCTTCTCAGCTATGGAGTAGGACGGACAGGTGCTTACTGTCTACTGCATACAATGTACCATCAGATTGAACGCGAGAAGAGTGTCTCCATCTATCAAATAGCTCGCCTATACAATCATCAGAGACCTCGCTGTGTATCAACTCTGGTAAGAACATGGAATAGATCTTTTTTTTTTTTTTTTTTTACCAAAGCGCCTGAGAAGGTTGGTTACTTTTCAAGTTATTCTATGCTGGGATGGAAGCCAGATGTCCTTTGAGAAAGTGCGATTGCGAACGTTTTCAAAAGGTTGTTGGCTCGTGGGCCTCGTGAGTATCTCAGTGACAGAGGCTCATCCCATTTTCTGGCTGAAATCGCGAGTCTGTCGCTGCTATTGACCATGATTTGCAACCGTCTAAAAAATGCGAATATTGTCCGTTTGCATCAGCAGTTCAACACTAAAATACTGTTAGACGGTTCATGATTTTAACGCCTCTTCTTTGATGTTACAAAGTGTTCCAATTAATGTATCAAAAGAAAACGCAACTTCATAGAAAATTAATTTCTAGATAGACATTCGCTTTCAATGAAGCGTTCGTCGTGCTCAAAGTGAAACACATTTTTCTTTAACACTAAAGCTACCAAAGCACGTTACAAAATAATTGTTTCAAACATGTCTTGAACAATGTTTATAATAAAGGCACATGTGTTGTTTACAGGGGCAGTACGAGTTCTGTTATGATACACTGGTGGAGTATATTGAAGCTGACTGTTCCTTACATCTTGTGTGACTTCAACTTTTGGGTTAAAGTCGTGTAAAGAAAAAGAAGTAAATGGCTGAGGTGGAAAATAATGGATCATGTCGATTTTGATTTTGGAAAATCGGGATCTTTAGTATTTTAGTTTAGTAAGGTTGCTGGAAAAAAAAACCAGAGCTACCACTAATGAAGTAGAAAGAAACGAGGATTGGCGAGTATGGAGAAGATTATAAAGGACTGAACTGACAAAGTTAATGAGGTTAACAAAGCGAAAGTGCGCATCTGTTTCCAGCTTGTAACGTCGTTTCCTAATGTAAGTGTGCCAGATGTCATGCCCCGAGAGCTGTTAGTTGTAGGATTTCGTTTAAACTTCTCGACAGTGGTAACGGATTACCAAGCCTTCAGCTAGAGTAGATATTTTCCAAGAAAAAGTTAATTACAAGTGTGCTAGCCTGAAAAAGAACATTGAAATTTTTATTGTTTTAAATTGTAAATGTGATAATTCATAGAAAATTAGCTATGCAATAAATAGAAAATGGGTATATACTGTGAATTGTATAAAAGTAGTCTCGATCATCGTTTATTCAATTTGTTTTTGTTAATTATATTGTAAAGTTCTTTGCCGCTAAGTTTGAAAATCAAATGAATTGCAGATTAGGTATAGTTTAAACAGTTTACTGTATTATTTCCAAGGTGAATTTTCCACGTTCCGTTAAATTCACGTCGGATCTTACGCTATTTTTTTAAATACTTTTTTTTTAGTTTTTCTTATCCAGTTACTGTACAGTGGATTTTGTTGTAAAAAAGAAAAAAGATTATGTCATTTGAACATTCTGATCGATTACGAAACTTGAACATATATTTAGAATAGTTTATTACCCAGATGATATAGAAATAAATAAGCAAGCATTTCAAAATACAAGCAGTTGTATGTTGTATGATCATGCTTCAACATAAATGAGACCGAGCAGAAAGTTTAAGGGAATGTAACATTACACCACCCAGCAAGCACATGACATTGACTATCTTCTCTGTCTATCATGTGTCCAAAGCCACCAAAGCCACCAAAGCCACCATGAAACAGAAATCGATCAATAAATGATTTTCTCAATCACTTTGATCTTGAGTTCCAATCAATTGTCTCTGAAAGCAGATTCTTGTGAAATTTCCTTTTGATTCGATTCACAGATATCATCACTTTACAGTACATTTTGAGTTAAACTTTAAAAAACAGTGATACCGTAAAATTCCTATAATAAGCCCTTGGTTTATATTTGTTCTAAGGTTTTTTTGATACACTTATTTTCGGGTAGGCTAATTTTCGGAGTATGTTATTTTTAGAGGGATTGAGCGTTTCAATTGTTTTGGGCTTGACAATAAACACAGGTTAAAATACTAAGTTGTAATATGACTTATGAAACAATCATTGTTTATCAACAATAAGTCTGTTTATTAAGTTTATTGTAATCAATATTAAGTCTGAACTTATTGTTGATAAAGGACTTAACGTCAAATGAGTACATTTTAGGAAAGTTACCCTTATGTTGCAGGCTGGAGTCATCTAGGTAGTCCATTTGATGATCCACTTGGCTATTAATATTCAATGATATTCAATAGTACAACTGGTATACTTTAGCCATCATACTTTGTTACACAAACATTACTGTCTTGGTAGCTTAAACCTTTCTTGTAGACCCTTCGTGGCAAACACGGTAAAATTTCCGCACAGCCCCATACTACATTATGCATTTAGTTCAATACCAGTTCTTGGATAGAGAAAACAATGACAAAAACAATACATTGCCATTGAGAAAACAGATTTGTTTTACAACAGTATAGGACTGTGCGGAAATTTTACCACAAATACGTTCCACTTTGCCTCACTTGAAGGAAAATGCAGGTAAACAACAAGATTAACTGTCGAAATAAACAGGCGCTACTATTTCACTACAAATTCTCAGTGTCTTTTGACCGTGGGAGACATATGAATCGATTAGAAAATGTCGAAATTTCAAGCCTTGTTTTGGGTCGGTGAAATCCTCTCGCGAACCAGCCGACCAGTTCCTTTATACGTCAGGCGTTTGTCTTTGGCGTAATTCAGGGATTCATTTCGGTATACATACTAACAAGAGGCAAGAATTAGCTTAAAGAATCAGCAGGCGTTACTAGTAGTAGGTACCAACTCCTATAGAGTATTTTGATTAGTGTCCAGTGCATTTTCGGCTTGGGTGACGCGCTGTCGCCAGTGGCTAGCGTCTAGACGACACTTCTAGGTTGATAAGCTGTCCGTGTTAAAATCTTAAGGTGACAATAATGGCTCCGATTCTCGGCTACTGGAACGTACGAGGGGTAAGAATAATTTCAAACTTGTTTAATTTTGTCTTCATTTTATTAACTATCCGTTTTGCATTGCTGACAAGAAAATTATTCAAAGGGCAACGACCGAACAGCCATAGAGAGGGACGCAGTTGAAATGCGAGTTAAGCGGACTTACCGAGACATGTCTAAGTCTGCCTCTGGGATGAATTTTGTCACTTCAGGGGAACCGCTCTTCTGCCCAGTTGGGTAAACGCCCACAGGTTTCTCGTTAGCTTCAGAGGCAAAAGTTAGGTAGTGGGCAGTAACTCATCTTCACCTGGGTCTATATTTAGTTTTTTTTTATTGTTTACCTTCTCTGTAAATCAAATTTGAATTAAAATGGAAAATTTTGCTATTTTTCCGTGCTAAACAGTATGGCTAAGTAAATACCTGCATCGCTAGGCAGATTGTGTCAGCGATGGCGATCCCATTGTCCAACGATGTTGTGTAAGGATGTTAGTTGCAAAGACTGTGAGGTAGAAACTCGTTTAACAGGTTACTTGACTAAAGATTTCAGCACCTGGGTCACGCACACCAAAAGTTTCGTGGCATATCACTCTAGTTTTGCAAACGAACAGTGTAACAATTCCAAAGCTTCACAAAAGCGAAAAAAAAAATTAAAGATTTTCCCCTTCGAGGCAATGAAAACAATCATAGGGGCTGATGTTAGTCATGCATGTTCAAATCTTCGCACAGACACAGTCTATGTTTGAACAATACATGAACCTTTGAATTAAAGTTTTGCGTAACTAGTTAACAAACTTCGATCTCAAGGTAAACAAATTTAAGATCGAAATAAAAAACAAGGTTAATGGACTAAAGAACATTTAATTTATAGATCGTGCTTATTTAACCTTACGTATTTTTTAAATTTATTTCGTCGTATTGTAGGTTTTTGTTATGTAGCGTCTTTTGTTTTGCAAGATAATTTGTAGGTTTTTTTATGCTTCGTTTGCTCTATAATTGTAAAAAAAAACATGTTTTGTGTAATTCGTTCAAGTTTATTCGAAGTCGTGTTCGAATTTATTCGAGGTCGTTCAAGATTAGTTCGTTCGAGATCGGTCATTTTGTGCTCAGTCTAACTTTGTTATTCATACTTAGTTCGAGTTAATAATAAAATGTTCAACAAGTGAACATTTTTTGGTAGCAGGGCGAGGTTTTTCATCACGGTTCAGCGTGGTTATTATCACGGATCTTCGAGGTTAGCGTTAAATCAATGGATGTAAATACGGGCGGAAATTTGGGTAGAGTTGCGGATGAAACTACGGGCGAGGATAAGGAACTTATCAAGAGCTTAAAGCAGGACAAAGCAAGGACTAAATCGGCATTTATCAGGATAGAGAAAAAAGCTGCTGCACCTTATAGACGAGGAAGATTATCCACGTCGGCGGGAAGTTAGAGAAGTTTGTTAAAAACTTAGTGTCGCGCAGGAACGCGCTAAGAAGACAATGTCGTGACTGTCGTCGGACGAGTGTTTACACCTTGATGAAAAGGACAAACGCAGGAAACTTGGAGAAGAAATGGAAGAACTGAAAATGGAATTTTCGGGAGCGAAAGAAAAGGCTAATGAATATTTGGAAAGTTGTAAGGACGAAATCTTAAGTTTGCAACTGATGCTTCAGAAGAGACTCGCCTTCGTCGAATCGAAGAAAGAGTGGCGCATAAGAGTGTGGAGAAATTTGTAGAGGACAAATTCCATTCCTGTCTTAAGTGGAGATAAACGACAGTATGAAGGGTGGAAAGAGCAACCACAACAGACTGTTACACAACGATATGCGGCCAACCAATCACATTGAGCAAACAGATAATCGCCAGTCGATGGATCGTGGTGAAGAAGATGGGGGTCAAAATGAAAGAGAAGCTGATACTATTGGCCAGGAAAGAAGTCCACTGGTTAATTCTTCTCCCTAGGTCACGGAAGAGTAAATATTGGAAAGGAAACGCACTACCACAACAGTTTCTGCACCCGCCGATCGCGTAATAATCGTAGCATTGCGCACAGTACCAGTGATTCTGAAGTATGGTAATCGGAGAATTAAAGTGAATGCATTACTAGACGAGGCATCTACAAAGACTTATATATATGCCGACGTAGCAGCTGAATAAGGTCTCCATGGGCAACCCTAGAAAGTAACTGTAAACATTCTCAATGGTCAAACAGAAACGTTCGAGATTACGCCAGTAGAATTAGAACTTGAAAGCTTAGATGGAAACGTGAAGACGAAGCTAAGTGCGTTTACTTCAGAGAGAGTCACAGGAGACGTGGAAGTGATGAGTTGGAAGAAACATGCAGTGAAGTGGAGTCACCTGACATTGATACAGTTTTCAAATCTTGGTATTCGCTCCATAATGGATTTGCTGATTGGAGTCGACTACGCCGAGCTACACTTCTCATTTAATGACATTCGAGGAAATCCCGGCGAGCCGGTGGCTAGACTAACCCACTCAGGATGGAGCTGCACCGGACCTGTTAGTGGCTTGAAACGTGGTAGCTAGGGGAGAGAGTGCCGACACAAACGAAATCAGAAGATTACTTCATGAGTCCTGAAGACCAATGTGCACTAGAGAAAGTCGAGAAGTCTCTTAAGAACGTGGATGGTAGATATCAAGTGGGAATTCCATGGAAGGAAGACAATCCAATTTTACCAGACAATTATGAAATGGCCCTAAGAAGACTGATAAACACAGAGAGGCGCCTATTAAAAAGCCCCGAGTGGTACCTACCTCATTTTCCTGTAGTACGACCGGACAGAGCCCCAACTAAAACTCGTATAGTCTTCGATGCTACAGTTAGATACGAAGAAGTCTCCTAAAATGACGTCATTTATTAAGGACCAAAGTTTCAGAGAGATTTGAACGATGTCTTACTCCGGTTCAGAAGATACCCTGTTGCACTTATCTGTGATATTGCTGGGATGTACTTGAGAATTGAAGTTGCGCCAAAGGATCAATTGTGTCAAAGGTTTCTGTGGAGATCACTGGATCAACGGTGAACTACCAATTTCCTTTTACGTGTAAAAACATGCCTTCTAAATAAAGCCTAAATATTAAACACCTTGGGATCGTCGTAAAGTTCAGACGGACACCTGCAGTCTCTGTAGAAATAAATTAAGTTTGACTCTTGGTTCAACTTAACCATTGAGTCTAACGGGTTGAGAAAGTCAGAGAGTTGTACTACTAAGGCAAAGGTTTTTAAAGACTATGTTTTCTTTTTCAGAAATAGATAAATTATTTAACTCATATATAAATTCCATCTACCAGAAGGCAAATCCAATGGTGGATTTTAAGAGACACAATCATGGAGTTCAAATCTGAACAACTATATAATATAATAATATATAATATAGAATGTAAACCAGTTTATCGGTTAAATAGGATCATTGTCGGAAATAGAATCATTAGGATAAATATCCAGTGCTTAAAACTTTTCGGTTAGGCCTTTATTTATAAAAATAAATGAGTACATAAAAAACGAGAATAACTCTTATTCCAAGGATACATATTTGTCACTATTATTGACAGATTGCTGAACCAATTCGCTATCTGATGGCTTATACTGGAACAAAGTGCGAGTACTGTGACTACGTGACTGGGGACGGTAAGTACATTCTTGGAGACTGTAGTGATCACTCGAACTTTTGCTTGTTAGAATATTAACTTTAATCGGTGAAACTCAACTCATATAAAACTCTACTCGAAAACTCGTGTTACATGTAATCAAACTCGTGTTACGCTTGGGAGTGAGGCGGTTTCAACAGAGGCTGAATAAGAAAGAAATGATAAAATGAATGTAACTTGACAGCAATCCGTTGTGTAGGTTACAGATAGATTCCATGTTACCGTGCTTCTGTTCAGTAACAGATCACAGCTGAAGTCGGCAAAATGTGGTTAGAACAAAAAAGTTGCCGACACGAGGCGCAGCCGGGTGTACAACTGATGTTCTTATCGCGTTCTGTCGTTTTCTGTGATCTGTTACTGAAAAGAGCACGGTAACATAAAATCAATTTGTTTTATATGATAAAAAGGCAAAATTGTTAGTAATGGTGAGGTCATTCATGCGTCTGTCTTCCGATAGACAAAAAACTAACAACCGATCAAAATGCGTGTAGGATTTACCTCATTAGACTCTGCTGTTTACCCGTGCTATGCTAACTGACAGTGATCGCCGTCTGTTGATATTTTGCAGCACCTGATTATGACAAAAGCGGTTGGTTCTCGGTGAAAGAGACGTTAGGACTGCCCTTTCCGAACGTAAGTGATGGCGGACCCTTAAACCCTTTACACCCCTACATCAGTCTGCATATTCTCCATAGTTTCCTCTATACCTTTGTTATGATGTTGACGAGGAGAATTTGTCAATTAATCAAGAGCTTCTTTAGTTAGGATTCCTTTCCTTAATTTTCATGCCTTAAATGTTTGATTGATAGGTGATAATGTAAACAGGAATTAGACGCTAAATAAACTAGATTTTTTGCTTGTCTACATGTCCAAAATATATATTCTTTCCCCTTTATTATTAATAAAATGTACAAATTCTGGGAGAGAATCAGATTTTTTTTAGTACTGTTTATCTTTCAGTTACCCTATTACATCGACGGGGATGTGAAGTTAACACAGACGACAGCGGTAGGCAATGTTGCATGTGTTTTAAGATCACATAAACTGACTCATGAACAATATTGCAATTTAGTGTGTACTATAACAGTGGATAACGTTGAAGGCGCGCTCTGATTGATTACTTAAACTTCAAATATCCTTCACTATTTACCTCCGAGCAACTCGCGCGGAACTTGCGCCCGATGACATTTTAATTATTGCAGGAATAAAGGACTATACAATTTGTGGAAAAATCACGCAACTTTGAACGACATCGACTCAAAACGTTCCTCGAATCGTTGCTTTAAGTTCTTAATTTGCATCCCCCCATAGCTTTTAGCCATATCTTTTTTTCCTTCGATGAATTTTTAAATTTCTCCAATTTAAAGGGGATGATTTGAACGCCAAAACTATGCAATAGAAAATATAGATCACCGTGCTCGTTCAAGAGCTAAAGACCATCGCATCTTGTCACCTGGTCCATTAACTGAAAAACAATACCATTTTCTCGGAATGCGCTCGCTTATTCACCTCATCACGTGATTTTTATGCGCACTACAGGATGTGCAGTGCAATACTGACGAATCACCTTGAAATCATCTTTTTGTGCTATACTATCTCAATCTTTTTTTCTCTCGTGACAAGACGAAAAACATCTTTCTCTATTTCTTTACCGAGCTCAAAATTTACCACCTCTCTTATTTATATCTACAAACATTACGCTATCGACATTGCTGGTCCTAGCAGTATGCGGGACGAGTGTTGTATGGACTTCGTAATGGATCTCGCACCGTAGAGTCCCTGTGGCTCAGTGGTAGAGCGCGAAATCCACAGGTCTGATGTTCGATTCCTCATGGGGACTCAAAATTTTTTCTTTGTCCCACGCTCGTGACAAGACGAAAAGCGTCGTTCTCTATCTCACTCTCTAAGTACATAGTTTAACAGTTATTCATGTTATTGTCAGTGGCTAGCAGCGGATATTTACCTCGCCTCTTTGCGGTTCAGTAAATATCCACTTCGACGAATAGTTGTTCAATATTCTGCCAATCAAATAATATCAATTAATTTATTCATATGGATCAAGCCATCTCATACCGCAAACGGTATCCTACGGTTTACAGCAAAAACCAAACCCATTCCCAGAGTATTACGTTATGGTGAACAACTGGTCCAGACGGAGAATTACAATATGCATCCTGTTTCTGATCAAACTAAATCAGGGTCCTCGATATATAGTGCTGAACAAAAAGATCCGCGTAGCACTGGAACAGGACTACGGGAGAGGGGGGAATAACTTATTTATTTTAACAAATATATATTATATCTTCCCAGATTATTCGGCACATCGCCCGAAAGCACAATCTATGTAAGTGTTTTTTTTTTTTTACAGTTAACTAAATATTCACTTATTTGTCATTATATATTTTTTTATTTTCACATTTATTTAATTACAAAAGAAAAGACAAAACAAAACAAAAAACAGAAAAAAAAACTACTTACAGAGTTACAAAAGAGACACTACTTACGTTACAGCAGTTGCGCTATTTACAACGATACTTTACTTACATTTCTGTTACTTGCATTAAAAAGACTAACGCTATTTACATCACAAAACTAACACTATATTCAATGGTATCACAAGTTACACAGCTTATACTTTAAAACTTAAATTAAAGGGGCTAATTGCATTATTTCTGAAAGTTGGCTACAAGTTTTTTTGGGTATTTTTTCTAATCCGTTATTTTTATTTGATAAATTCTCTTCTTGTTTTCTTTTTTCGGAGCGAAAAGATATTCTACACAGAGTATACTATTTTAATATATGTTTTACATGTAAGAGAAGTATTGGTTTCGGAGTCAAGGGCTCAGGAGACCTGATCCAGCGAGGATAGAAAAGGCTTCCATTTTTTTGTGTTGCTTGGTGTCCTGTTTTCTAAGTGATGTATATGTTTTAGATGAATCAAGAAGTTGTTTCGAGTTGGATAAAGTTCTTTCGATTGACATATCCAAATATAGTGTTTAGCCATTAGGCAGCAAAATTTATTTGGAGTTTGAAATCGGAGCTGTCAGGCATAAGACCCAAAGCGGTTTCTATGGTTGGTTGGTTGTCTGTTGGGAGAATCTGACACGACTGAAGCTATGTCGCAAGATTCTGCCAAAATATTTTTGTTTTTTGCATTGCCAGAATAAGTGCATCAGATCTTCTTTTTCGTTATGACAAAAGGTGCATTTTCCGCTCTGTCTAATTCCCATTTTTCAGTAAATATCTATTAGTCGTTCGCCGTCTTTGTAAAATCTGAAATTGAAATCTATTATTTAGAGTTCCCTGTGCACACGGCAGATGTTTGATAGACTTTCCTCCAATCAACGTTTCTATTGGTCGTGGAACCGATATCTTTGTGCCACTTCTCTTGACATGATATTTATCGTATTTGCCTTCTCTTAACATATGGATCATTTGCTGAAATTGTTTAAGAAACACTTCAAATGCAAATGGCCTGAGCAATTGAACTTAAGAGACTTGTAAACATCGGTTGATTTCGTCGGTGGCAAGCCTTAACCCCTATATGCACCTCTCTCCGCGAATTCGTGGTTTCGAAAGCTGAATTTCATCAGAGCAATTTCTGAGAATCTGAAAATAAATACTTGATTGTGAAACTATAAGTATCTCAATGGGATGATGGCTTTTACAGCTCGGCTAACGGTTAAAATTTGACCATTTTTACAGCCAACAGTGAACTTCTTTCCGATACGTTTGAAAGAAACGTTGTTAGTACGGTGAACTTTTCTGACGAGTAACGGCTAAAATTTTTCAGTTTTTACGCCTAAGTACTAAATTGTGTATACGGTCTCCCATCCATGCCTCGTTAATCTCTATCAGGTCTCTACTGTCGATTAGTTTCCAAAAGTCTGGATAGAAGCAGATATGTAACGAATTTAAGGAAACGAACGACACTTCTTAAAAACATGTTTCGACAGTTCTTCTGTCATCTTCAGTTCTGAATATTACAAAGTACAAAGTTTAATTTAAAGTGTGTAACAAAACTCTTATTGGACAAAACAAATTATAACAACAGAACAATGAATCGAGAAGTTACCTTTTAGCTGCGATCCTAGAGTATGAAGGGGAAACATCCTAATGTAAGAGGGATCGTAAAAATTAGGAAACATTAAGGGACATCCACTTACCTAAATGTAGTGTTACACTTATTGTTTAATTCCTAACCTCCTAAAGTGAGTCGGTACTTTACCCTATACATACTAACATCAGTATGCGTTTTCTCCATACACTTACTCACTCACTCATGCCCATTATGCCGTGTGGCACGTAGGGCGGCTATTTGTGCTGTCTCCGTAACATGGGTGTTTTACGGGACAGGGTCGCGCCTCGTCGGACCCCTACCCTTCGACCTGTCCGGCTTGGGTGGCCCTACCAGGAGACGAAGCTCCCGCCGGCATAGCTCTAGGGGTCTCCGAGGCACTCAAGCCCGCCGACCACGACAAGGTGGCGATCCTTCGAGGATGTTCTCCTTACGGTTCTCTATATACATTTCCTAAGTACTGACAAGGAGAACTTGTTTAACAGTCAAGAGCTTCTTTAGTTGGTGATTATTTCCTTTATTCTTGTCTTGTTAAGTTAACGTGGTATCCAGGGGTGATGTTAGATGCCAGTCACTCTTAGGGAATCGTTAGTATTTCAAGCTGAAGTGGTCCTCTCAGACGTCTTTTTGGCAATTATCTTAACTTTAAATTTGTGTTTGAAGGTGGAACCAGCGAAGAAGAGATGATGAGAGCCGATGTAATTGCTGCCGAGGTGCAAACGAATTTCATCACTTACTCTAATAGTATTATGGTTTTTGTTGCATGGGAGCACCTAACATTTCTGAACGTACGACTTTTGACGTACTTTGTTTTGTCGATCAAGGGATGCAATTTCTAACGCTTAGTAGGTCTAATAAGATCATTTGGTTTTGGGAATTAGCTCCTCGGTTGAGGGAAGGGTGAAGGGCTAACGCTCGAAACGTTAGCTTTAGAATTTCTTTACGGTGGCCATTTTGCATTATCAAATCGGTTTTTAAAACCAAATTATCTGGTATACTCCCCTATCGACACAGCTTCACAGTTTCTTTAGAAGTTTAACCCCGTTATTCGCTTATTGGATCGAGTATCAAATTTATCATGATTAAAATGGATTTTGAACTAAATTAAAACTGAGAAAGAAAAGAAACCTTTTGAAAAGTTGTTGAAAAGTATAAGATGTGGAAACATCTCACCCGGCTACAAGTTGGTCACTAATCATTAAAGATCGAAAGACTGATGTGTGTTCGTGCCAGGTGAACTGTGAATCAGGAGTCCCGAGCTCAAGGAAGTTTTGCTCTCTTCTTATAAGTGAACATTTAAAAAAAACTGTCTTTGTATTTTGTTCTAATGGCAGTTGGTTTCGAGCGGTTACTGTCAGTAAATGAACTCAACAAGTTACATCTTGTCTTTGTTAGTCAGTGTTCTTCGGACATGGAAAAAGAGTTCGCTGGAAATAGTCCTTGGTACACTTAATTTCAAGAGAAAAATGTTTTGTTTTCGCTGCTAAGCCCGATGAGAAAAATTAGATGACCAGAAAAAATGGCCACTTCAATTGACTGTCCGTCTTTTTGGTATCCGGTCATTTCGTACCCAGGTACAGTCGTTTCGTACCCAAGTTTGAGTCGTTCCGTACCCAAGTTTGAGTCGTTTCGTACCCAGGTTTGAGTCGTTGCCTACCCAATCCGCTGATCGATTCATACAGATATCAATCGTTGTGTACGACAAATAAGTAGAGTCAAGCGAGTAAGATACAAAGAGAAATCTGTATACTTGTGACCTTCTCGACAAAAACAATATAATTATTGCTTGACGCAAGGTAAGTGTGATATTTTTAGTTGAAAAGTCTATCGTTTTTACTTGTCACTTTTTTAACAATAACAGCTCGTGTTAGTGTGATATTTTTTCTCCAATTGCTAACTTGGAAAACATACTTTATTAGTTTGGGTACGAAACGACCGAGCTGGGTACGAAATGAATGAGCTGACTGGGTACGAAACGACCCAGTTGGGTAAGAAACAACTGGGTACGAAACGACCAAGGGTACGAAATGACTGGCAACCGACTGTGTTTTATCATAATTATTATCATTATTATCATTATTGTTATTATCATCATTACAGGCAGTGGACTTCATCAATGGATTCATAAAATTCACTTATTTCAGTCCAGACATGGTAAGAGCGTGTTTATAACTGAGTCAAATCAAGTAATAAGACGTTTTAAGGGTGTCATTCAATTTTTTCGCGCACAAAACTGAATTTTTCGCCTTCCGAAGTCTCTGATGTTGTTCTTTGACGATTTTGTTATCCGGGGTTTGAGCAACCAATCAGAGCGTGCATTCAACGCTTTCCATTGGTTTAGTATATACTAACACGAGTTATCAGAAATTAGCAAAAAAAAAACGTAAACTAATCCAGCTGAGTGGTGACATGAATTAATATACCTTTAAGGATTGTAATACAGTTTTGTTAGTTATAGTTGTATTTATTTCTGGTAAAACCAACTTGGTATCAACACTCCATTTATTTTACAGGAAGGGGGAAGAGAAGCGTATTTGAATTCTTGCAAAGCGTTTCTTCAGCGTCACTCAGACTTCCTCAGCACGTATCCTTACTTCACCGGCGATCATGTGAGTATTCTATGGTACATTTTCCTAATCATCCCTTACTCCTTAAATCCTTGTTGAGTAATAAATGAAGAGAGAGTATTAGTAGATAAGAAGGATAGGAAGGCCACAAAAGGGAATAAAAGAATAAAAGGAAAAGGCGCTAATGGGACACGAAGACTCATGCGAGGCGCCTATCCAACGGAATGAAAGTTCAAAAATTCTACAAATTAACGGATGTAAACAAAGAAACTGGTGTCAGAAATTAACGATGGTAACAAGGACAATCCTGCGTGATCGACCACGAAAAAACTAGGTCCACATAAAAAACTGACATTAAAACGGACCCATACGTATTTTTTGAAAGAACCCGGAAGATAAAATTACCAGGCAACGGTATATTGCATATCGTATCCCACAATTGTATAATACGAAAAAAACACGAATCTTGAAAATTACTGGTAATACAGGCTAGGACAGTAAGATAGAACTCATTCAAGATGTCGCTCATTCTATATAAACTCGACAGGCGTAGCTTGATAATTGATCCAACTGGCAACAACCTTTGTAATTGACATGTGAAAACATGTGGAATTTATGTGCCAATTAATTTGAAGCTTTAACATCCTTCTCCGGGGCAACCCACGGGAGTTTGACTGTCGTCCATGCTGTCGTCCCTATCAAATCCAGCATTTAAGGTAGGGCAACCAATCTTCAAACGTTCAAATGCCCGAGGGGTTTCCCGGAGGAGATATTGAAGTTTCGAATTGATTGACGCATATTCCATTTCTTCCGCCTCTTATTTAGTTAAGTTTTGCCGATTTCATGATGTATGAAATCTTGGATCAACTACGAACCTTTGAGCCATTAGCTCTTAATCCATTTCAAAACATCAAGGACTTCATGGCCAGAATCGAGGTAAGATATAAAGATGCAATGATGCCTATTTTCTGATCGATGAACGAACCGATCTCGGAAAGCAAAAATCATAGAGTGACGTAGAACGGAACCAAGGTAATCACGACGACCAATCAGGGCGAAGGGAAATCTCACAAGGAGCCAATGGAAAATTAAGGTAACAAAAAAGCAAAATGCATCAAGCGCAGGAAAACGCAAACGACTAAGTTCCGATTGGTTTTCGTTTTGAATCTGATTGGTGAAGCAGATGGCGCCAGTTTACTGGACCAATTGCATGGCAAAGTAAAGCAAAACCCATAAAATTTCTAACTACTTTTGACCCTCATTAAATATTGCTCTAAAAGTACGAACAAGGTGAAATTATGCAGATGCTGTACGAACATGAAATACTGTTGATACTATGTAAACTGTGTAGTATAATTTGATAAACTGAACTGACTACACACGCATTGGAATACTGATATAACGCATCAATTAGTTCACCATTTATCACGATTTTGCTTTTTTATCATACGAAACAAATCGATTCGCACGGCAACATGAATATCTATTTGCTAATTACACAGTCAAACACAAAACCGTTTATTCTTCTTTTGGATTTTTGTCTTTCACAAATCATATCACTGTCTTTTAATTTACCAGCGCATTCCTGCTATTAAAGAGTTCTTGGAGTCCGAGTACTTCCGTAATCGACCAATTAGCAACAAGATGGCACAGTGGGGAACCAAGCCTATTCCCCGTCAGTGAAAGAAAATGAACGATTTATCAACAGACACGCTCAGATGTGATCACAAACGAGAATATCGTAGTTTGATTTACTTGTCTTTGTTCACAAATAAAAATGGTGGTCTTTTCTATACATGTGAACTTACTTAGTGAATGGAAATAATATGATTAACTTTACATTTAAACATCCGTATGCATATTCTCCTGAAAAGAATCTCACATTCGTTGTGGTTTTAACAATTGATCCATTGGTAGAATATGATTCGCTGTGACTTTTATCAGAGAGCAGTGAACACTTCCGTCAATTTTGTTGTCTTAGAAAAACGTCATCGTGCTTATTAACACTAAATTGCCCGAGAAATTATAGTTACTTGTTTATAGTTTACATAAAAGCATCACAGAAAGTCAAGCCGGACGAAATTTTGACAACGCACGTGTGCTACTTTTACTTTGCCCTCGTGCTTTAACCAACAAATTAGTTGCGAGAATAAAACAAACTGTCAGCCAACAATTATTTTAATTTAACGCCACTTTTAATCAACATATTTAAATAGAAATGTACTATAAATTACAATTGCAAATACTGAGTACAGATGTCCCGCTCTTAAAAACATCAGTGTGATGTCACGCTGATTGGAAATAATCACAGCATTTGGCATAATTATCTAGGGTAAATTGCTCATACGGAAATGGTTCAAACCATACAATCTGACAAGAAATGAAATTTTATGCTTGCTGTATGTTATGCCATGTGATGTTTATGATGACATAATTAATCATGTTGAATCGACAGCTTCCTACTGGCTAAATAACTTGTCTTACCTTATCTAGATAAGGTTACAAGCTACCAAAGAGCCTTACACCAGAGCCTTGCTTGTCAGAAATGATAAAAATTCTAAAAATGTGAAATGACTTTAAAGCTATAGTTTAATTCTTTAAGAGTAAAACGAACTAACAACAACAATTATGTGTAAGAAAAGGAATCATTCGGCGAAACTCTCAAGAGAGAAATAATAATATTAATAATTTATTTGAATAAGTCTTGCTCTGTTTAATTTTCGCTGGTGACCTAGTGTGTGATAGGTACAGGAATTACTCAAGTTCAATCTTAGAATTATTTCCGCTGGTAAAAATACATTAAAAGGTGAAAATGGCAAAAAAGGAATGAAAAAAACAATATTATTGAAGAACCAGTGACATAACGCTTGCCATCATTCAGGAATCTGCAAAAACAGAAAACTCAGGTTGTAATTTTGTTATAGAAGGAAATTGTGCCCGCAACCTAAAATCATGCCTCTGACAGAAATAAACAGCTCAGGATATGAACTGTGTATGGATGAATCCAACCCCTGTACAATCATGAAGGGGTAAGTTTCTAAAGAAACTGTGGTGCTGCGTCGGTGGGAGAGTATAGCAGGTAATTTAGTGTTAACAACTGGGTTGAAAACGTAAATTAGCCACCGTAAAGGGCTAAACCTTTACGGTGGCTAATTTACGTTTTCAACCCAGTTGTTAACACTAAATTACCTCCTGTACAATCATTATTGATATTTAGCCCTTTCACTTCCAGAAGTGATTAACACATATCTTCTCCCTGAAATATTAATACATTATCCTGTAAACCGGCAATGAGAGAGCTAAAACTTATCAGGTTGAAGTATCTTGATCTAACACAAAATTCTTACAACTTATTTAAAAGGAAATGTGCATCAGCTGGAGGGGAAAATTAACAATCAGGTATTGGGGGTTAAAGGGTAACTAATTGCTTACCAATACACTTGGCAGAGATTGGCGAGACATGATGAAATGAGGTTCAGAAGAAGATTTTTGTAAACACGAATTGGTAACCAGAAGTTGAGAGTTGCTGCAAATCTGTACAATATTTGGTTCCGAGTGCTAAAACAAATGTTTCTCATTTGAATGTTTCAAGTTACTGTGTACCAGACAAGGTTTTCTTGTACTTTGCATCTGTTCTTTCATTCCCAATTAGAGCACTTTTTGATTAAATTTTGAAAGACCAAAACCAAAACAATCAAAACAGCCAATCATAGCAAGGAAAATATCAAACTGCTGAAAGAGCAGGGGAAGGAGAGTGACCAAGTTGTGATTGGTTTAAGTTTTGCATCTGATTGGTTCAGAAAGCGATGTGAATTTTCTGGAACAATCACATAACAGAGTAAAACCACCCAAAGCAATCCAGGATTGCTTTGAAAGCTCAATTGAAAATTGCTTTATCAGAGAGAAATCCAAAATAAGTTATTAGACACTACTTACTTGCTAGGGTAGTGTTGATGTGCCTGCTAGGGGGGTACTCCATAGTGTCATTGCCCACTGAAACTTGATAATAACTATATCTTGCTTGTCTTCCCCTATGAATTAAAGAAAATGGGATATTATCATCATAAAGCAAAGTAAAGAAAATAAAGTAGTTTGTGACATGATCGTCAACTGAGTCGCATACTTCAGCTTGGTGTAATACAAGTTCACCTTCTGAAACTCTAAGAATTGTACATTAAAAAAAATTTGATCAGCTATTTATATCCTGACATCAGTGTGCATATTCCCTGTAGTGTTCTCTATATGTTTCCTAAGGTGCTGATGGGGAGAATTTGTTTATCAATCAAAAAGTTTGTCTAGTTTGTGATCATTTCCTCTACTCTCAAAACCTTCATGTGTGATTCAGGGGTGATACTGTAAGGAGAATTTATGGGAGATGTTCGTCACTCTGAGGGGTCAAAGGGTCAACAGAGTGTACATGTTACTCACCTTATGTATTTGAGCAAAATTGGAATAATGAGGCAAACAAAACTCATAAAAGTCTGCAAATGAAGACAAGCAATGAAAAAATTATCACAATAATAATAATATTATTATTAAAAAGGTGAGGATAGGATAGGGCTATGTGCTCAACCAATCAACTAAACAATGATAAAACATTTTATGACATAACTTATACACAACATGCACTCTGATTGGTCAAAAATATATTAAATATTTGCCTGTATAACGATAAAAAACGGATACATCTCCCTATCCCATGAAATGGTGCCACACGGTGGAAATTCCCAGATTTTAATTTGGTACAGGCCTTTGGTTTGGAGAAAACTAAGAGGACACTTTGAGTGTCAAAACCAACAACAAAGATTTTATTTTTTACACAAGATCAAATTTTCTATTTAAAATTCAGCTTGACAACCTGGTTGCTCCATTTTAAGCCTTTACTTTTCCTGCATATTTGTAGTGAGAGAACTTCAGAACTTCTCTTCTGCAATTTCCCAAACTTCTTGCCAACAAGGAAAAGTTGGCATGCTTTTGCTTCAAGAAAATTGCAACCACAGTTGAACTGGATTTTCATTCAGACATTTACTGAAAATCCTATGAACTGATCAGAACACTTGCAGAGACTGTAAACCACTCAGCCACACCTTGTGGTTTATAAACTTTTCTTGTGTTCTCCCAACATCCCGTGCAGTTTACTAGCCAGTAAAAGTGTGGTTTGTTGCCTTAATTAGCCTAGCTTTGTTTCCCAAGAGGAAAACAGATATAAAGAAAAATTCCGAATACTATCCTTTGTTAAAAGACACAATCTAATATTGCTGGCAAGAAACAAGAACTTCGAGGTCCTTGTGTCCTGCCTGAAAGGGATTAGGGGTGTGCAACCTCTAGGAATGAGATTGAGGTGTTTCCTTTCAACTTGAGACAGGATCATTGTGTTTGCATATTAAAATGTTAATATAAACTCATTCAATACTCCTCCATCTTGTTTTACGAATTGGAGCAAAAATTACTAGCCGCACTTTATATGGCAATAAAAAACAAAAAAAAACTAACCAAAAAAACAAAAGCTCAAAAAATTGTAGCTGTACTTATGTTCTGAATTAATTTACTCAACCTCTCCAAAGCAACTCCAAAAATATTCTTTGATAACAGGCAACTTGTTTAAGTGTGTGCATGTAGCAAGAATCTTTTAGCATTGCACACTTTATCAATGATTCTGTCAAAAAAAACAAGCCAAGTTGCTTACCATCACCATTAAAAAGTAGAACACTGGCTTCCAACCTGCGTGTGTGTTTATTACAGGAACAAGAAACTGAAAGATTGGATAATGCAAAAATTATGTCCGCAAATTAATATCATGGCTTTGTATGGCTTTCTATATCCTGTCATCATCTGTATGGCTTATTTAAAATCATTCTTGCTCAAAACTGTCTCTACCCTTTATTTACCATTAGTTATCAACATGTAACTTTGCCCTGTAGCATCCATATGTACCATCCAGTAAACAGGTAATGAGAAAACTTAAAGTTATCATGAAGATGTTATGGTCTTGATCTAATACCAAATTCTTGTAATTAATTTATAAGGAAATAATTTGCAGCTAGCAGGGAAAATAAACAATTAATAGAACTTGGGATTTAAAGGGTTAATACAAAGTGTGGATTCTTGTATTAAAGATACAAAGTTTTGTGATCTTTTGACTATTGGTATGCACATTATTCTGGAAAGAGAAGATAATGCATAAACTGCTATTTCTCATCAGCTTCTGATGCAATTTGATGAGCCATAGACAAACTGAGGACAGAAAGTCATATACCAATTAATAGACAGGTACCAATAATTTAAGTAAGTTTTGTATGACTGTCAATTCAGAATTAGTTCACACCCTTTTTGATCTGAACCTACAGTTCAACCAGCAGCCAAGAGTCATTCTCACCTGTCCAATAGCTGCTCCTACACTTCCAGTGCCATCCACAATCCCCGTCACAGTAGCTAATGCTTCACTGTTGGCACTAAGGGCACTCTGTATAATGAAACAACACAAAATATGCATCTTAAAGAAACAGTGTCACTCCTTGCATTTATTATCGCATTATCATTATTATGTCTTTTAGACCTTTGTGAAAGGAATGAGCTGCCAAAAAATAATTGTCTATTGTATCAAAATGATCCTGCAGACACATCAAGCTCATAATTTTCCTTGATATTAACCTTAAAGGCCCATAATATTGATCATTGATAGCTCCTTTTCTCAGTTGATAATCTTTCCTAGAGTTCCACCCTCCATTAACTTATTACCATTTAGGTGAAAGAGAAAGAAAGAATTATATTGAAGTCAGAAATACACACAATTTTGCAATAAGTACATTTTGTGATGTGCAAGTCACACAAGGCCCACACACTTATTGAGCAGACACTGTTCTCACAAAGCCCCATTTTCTACTATTTTCTGTACAACAAATCTTTTTCATGAAAGTAGATACTAACACAGCCCAAAACATGTTTCAATCTTAATGGATGTGGTCATCTAACTCTTCTTACCTGTCTTCCCAGGTCAGCTGATATTGCAGAACTTATCAAGTTTGCAGGACCGCCAACCATAAAACCTGCATAATAGAGTTGGTGAAAAATAAACTAGAAGTAACCATGGATTAGGAACCTGTGTTTGCAATATTGCTTAGGAATGAATATTTTTGTCTCTACGCAATAAAATTTATATAAATATTGAATGGTGGCTTGGATTGCAGTTCTGATTTGAAGTAACTCAAAGGTAGCAATTTAACTACAAATCAAAACATGGCATCCAGACTGAAGTGAGTCTGGATACATGCATGGGATTGTGGCTATCTGGTCTGTCCAAAATGGTGTTGAAAGCTGACATGGTCTGGCTTCAAATTGATACCTGAGAGATTTCATAAAATCAGTGGGACTGAAAAACAACATAAATAGCATGTGTTCTCCTATGTTGCAAGCAATAAGTGTTAAGAGTGCACGGGTGACCTGAAGTAAGCATGTACACTTAAGACACCATTTATCACCATTGCAAAAAGGGACAAAATATATCACACAAACCTAGTAAAGTCATCAGACTTGCATTCAGCGTGTAACTGCCTCCAGTATCTGCCATTACATACAGACACATTGTTAGATGAATGGTTTAAGATTGAAACCAATCATAATAAAATGATAACAGCCTCTAGTAACTTTGAAAGGCATATCCCACATGAAGAAAACTTATTGCACTTGCCACAAACATTCCTCTTGTCAAATATTTTATCTTGTATGCCCAATTTGATCTGGGATTTGGACTTCAGTCAAGAAATGGCTGACCAATTGTAAAACTTAATGCCTTGATGGCTTTTCAATGAACTGAATGAATGAATGATATAATAATAACAGTGAAAAAAGAGAGAAATTCCAACTAACTTCCATAAATGAAAAGCATTGGTATGGACAACACAAGCATTGCAATGACCAATGGGGACCGACTTGACATCAGATCCTAAGAAATTAGTAAAACAAGAAACAAAAAATAACAATGCATGCCTAATGCTTGTTGACACAAAAATAAGGGTACCCTTAAAGTATTAGTCACATATTATGACTGGCAATGTACATGCTCTACAAGCCTTTAAACACTTTACAGAGGCCAATTTATGTTTTCATCTCAGTTGATAACACTAAATTATCTTGCAAATAGCTAGTTTATTTTCCTTATAAATAGTTGTATTATAACTAAATCATTCCTGGATTTTAAATTTCAGATTTTAGATTTAAGTGTTTAACTGATGACTTTAGATTTTTACACATTTTTTAGTTTTTTCCCTTTAAACTCCTAAAAGTGACCGGCTTCTACTTTCTCCTCACAGTATTACTCTTCAATCAAATGTAAAGGTCAAGAGAAGAAAACAAATGATCACCAGTTCCAAAGGCTCTTGATTGTCAAAAAAATTCTCCTTGTCAGAACCAAAAGAAATTTGTAGAGAACAGCATGGAGAATATGCATACTGATGTTAGGGTGTTAAGGGTTCATATTTCTATTTAAAATGATCAGTTACAGCACAAATAAGGGTAAGGCGGGGGTGGCATTTTATTGATATATTTGACTGATGATATGATTCTGAAATAATATTTCAACACAGAAATTGATAAAACTTACACTGATTAATCCTCCAATTACGCCACCTGAAAGTGTTGAAATATAACAATTTAAAATTCATAATATAGAGAATTGAAGCTATATTCATATGGCTTGCCAAAACCTTTGTTGACCATGACAGTTTTTGATTAGGACTACCAGTTCATCTACACCCTTCAACTCCTAAGAGTGTCACTAACATCCAAACTCTCCCTACAATATCACCCCTGCATCAAAGCTTAAGCTCATGAGGATAAAGGAAATGATCACTAACTTAACAAGCTCTTGAATATTAAACAAATTCTCCTTGTCAGCACCTTAGGAAATGTATTCAGTGTGGAGAATATGTTAACTGATATAAAGGTGCAAATGGTTAACCTGTTTAAGCTATGTGCACCATGATAATGACATTAAAAAAAAAAAGAAAAAAAAAAAGGGGATTGTTGATTCAGAAGTCTTTAGCATGCCAAGGTTTCATACAGATTTTGCTCAAGTTGATTTGTTTTTGACTGGGTGAAAAAAAATAACTCCAACCTCCACCCTTAGAAAATATGCGTAATGAAGCCCTAAATTTACATGTATGCAACTTTACCACACTATTAAGAAATATTTACTTCTCGAACAAAATTTTGGCTGATATTTTAAAGGTAAAATCAGCATTCAAAAATACACTTAATTACCAACAATTCCTCCAACATCATAAAATGTTGAAATTTTGTCTGCCACTGTGTCCTTCCAATGAAATTCTAGAAAAAAAAAATAGGAAGGATTAAGTAGCCCTTCACAGCATCACTCATGGCAAGTACTGCAAAAATGTTGGTAAAATCACTGATAAACTATGAGCACCCTGATTGGTCAAAAAAATATTGTATATTGCACTGGTAAACCCATTGATAATTGGAACAAAGTATGTTTTAGAGAAAGATGTTTTTCGTCTTGTCACAAGCATGGGACAAAAAAAAATTCTGAGTACCCATGAGGAATCCAACCTCAGACCTTCAGATTCTATGATCCAATGCTCTACTTACTGAGCCATAGAGACTTTACTGTAACAAGGTTTATTACAAAGTTCATATGACAAGCGTCCTGCATACTGCTAGTATCAGCAATGTCAATAGCATCATGTTTGTAAACAGAATAAGAGAAATGGGAAGTTTTATGCTTGGTAAAGAAATAAAGAGAGATACTTTTTGTCTTGTCATTAGTATGGGACAAAGAAAAAAGAAAAAAAAAGTGTTTTGTTTAGAATTAGTTTCGTAAAAGCAGTAGACTGCACTTTATATTGGTTTAAGCTGCGTAATAAACCACATGGGATATCAGGAGAACACAAAGTTAGTAACTGATTTGCCTCTCCTTCCCAGTTTACAAACTTTTCTCATGTTTTCTGAACCCCCTGCATGGGTTATTACACTGTTAATAAAACCAATTTAATGTGCTATCTATTACTGAGATAATCCTTGTACAATAAGTAATGGCAATATGTTTCCCACAGATTGTCTGCCCACAAATTTTACAAGAAATGACAAAATACAGAACTTACTGTTTGACAAGTAATAAGGCAGCCAAAAGAAGAATGAATAATTCACCAATTTCAAACAAGCATAAGACAATGAGTACTGATGAAAAAAAAAAAAGATTGTTATTTAGTTGCAGTGAAAATATTATCTAATACATACATTGTAAATTTATGCACCCATGCCCTTTTCCATAACAATTTATTATCTAATATAACATGATTAAAAATTGCTGCCCTCACTTAAAATAAAAAAAAATATGATGAAATTCAAGAAAGAGCAATAGTTTTTTAATGGGAAGATAAAATACATATAGTTTTTATAACAAAGACACACAAGCGTTCCCAACTCTTGTTCAAGAATTTTTTTTCAATTTCTTGTAAGCTCTATTCACTTAGAACTTTATGGTCTTCTCTGTCCCTCACTGTAACATCAGCAGTATGGAGTTGATCAATTCACCTGAAATTGCCTGTTACTGTTCTTTTCATAGAGGTTGTTTTCTGTTCCATGGGTGACCAAAACAGAATGTCCCCTTAAAATATCAATACAATATAAAGTGGACCAGTGATGAGGAAAAGAAAAAACTACTCTAGGGGAGTATTAGTTGAACCCATACTGAATTCTCCAAACTAACCTTGTACAAGAGTTGTATGGCAGACAGTAAAGAGATGAATGAATGAAATCTTGAGATTAAGAGACAGAATTGCAATAATTGAACTTACAGGTATAACTCCTGGCAATAAAACAGCTTGGAAAAAGCTCACAGCCTTCCTTGGTGGTTGTTGTTGTTGTTGTTGGCTTGCTGATGATGACTACAAAAATGAAGCAAGCAATAATGAATCAGTAAATGTAGTTTATTTCGTTGAAATGATTCCTTAATTTTTTTGGAAAAAAGTTGAGACATAATGGGTGTCACAGAATAAAGCTGAGCATGAAGGAGCCTAAAGTCAGCACCATGAAGTTCCTTCCCCCATTTATTAAGAATATTATTTAACCAAAGATTAAATCTGTACCACACTACATTCAAACCTTGATTATCTAGACCTTGTTTATCCAGATTTTTCAATTGTAGAGACTAAATTCTCTGGTCCCATTTTTCTTAATAATTAATATTAATAACTCATAATTGAGATCCATAGGAAATTCCTCTATCAAACAAAGCACATGTATTGAAACTCCCATTGGAACTAAATATGCTCTGCTTTCTGAAGCTGATGAACATTTTAGGGAGTGATTAACATAGATGGAAGAAACACATTGTTGACATTATTCCTTTCATCACTGTAATGATACACAGTGATATGTGAATGTGCCATAATTACTCTTTAAAATTGTTTACATGATGTGTTTCCAGTTTTATGTTTGGCTCATAAATATTAACATTAATATTTTTTAATTATCTGGACCACTCAGCCCAGTCCCCAGGAATCCGGATAGTCAAGGTTGGACTGTATTGGGCCAATGCTGCCAGAGCTTTTCCACTGTATTAGCACAATGCTGCCAGTGCTTTTCAACTGTATTAGTACAATGCTGCCATAGTATTTGTAAAATGACAAGACATTGCCACCACAATAAGCAATAACATTACACTAAAAAGGGCAAATTCAAAGGAGAACAGCCAAAGTTTAATCCTATGTTTAATTACGTGGACATGAGCTGCTACAGTAGACCTTTTTTTTTTATTTTTTAAGTTTTGCTACTCACTTGAGAGAGACCTCTGGCAAATGCTTCTTGCTCAACAATTTGTTCATTAAAAACTAGAATAGTAAATCATTCTGTTAGGTTCCAAACTGATGGTACACAATTAACCCTTTGATTCCAACAAGTGATAAACATGTTACTTCTCCCTAAAATATCCATACAATATCTAGCTAACAGGTTATGAGAATACTTAAACTTATCAGGTAAAAGTTGTTATCTTGATCTTACACTAAATTCTCATAACTAAAATATAAGGAAATGTGTAGAAGCTAGCAGGGAGAGTTAAGAATCAGATCTTGGGAGATAAAGGGTTCAAAGCTTACTCTCCTCGTAGTGGCATATCACAAGATTATATTGTTTTAATTCAGAACAATTA